CCAGTGATAAGGCATACTGACATCGTGTACACCCGGTAGGAGACTCTGAGAGAAGCATTGATTGGTTGCCTCCTGTACACACCCTGACCAGGGATTGAACTGTAGCCTAGGTATGTGCCCTGACCGGGAATTGAACCCGCAACCTTCTGATATATGGGACAATGCTCCAGTCAACTAAGCCACCTGGCCCAGGCAACTTACAGGTATTTGAAGACCATGAAGCCTTCAAATCTTTAACTCTTTATTGATACTGACATAAGAGATTGGAGGAGGAAGGGGACAAAAATACACATTTTACAAATTAATCCATGTTACCTATTCTTTAGAGGAGAGTATGCACACATAAAGTGGGAAATCTCCAAGTCTTCAGTGGGGAACCGACTTACCTATTTAGAGGTCTTACTAGGGGATATATTATTCTTACAATGAATGCCTGAAATCTTTTTCTCATTAATTGAAGGTTTTAACATTGGCATTCATAAGTAAATATAGTTTATAGTTTTATTTTGTGGGGAATAGGAATGTATTAATCAGGGTAGGCTAGGTTATACTGTGATCATGAGAAATCTCCACACCTCAGTAGCTTTGAGCATCAAAGGTTTACTTCTCACTCATATGTCCACTGTGTCTCTTCTCCAAATCGCCTTCCTCCTGGGATGAAGTGAATAAAGCAGCTTACCTGGCATGTTGCTGGTCACCATGGCCCGAGAAAAGAGAGATCTGGTGAACCATGAACAGGGTTTTAAAACTTCTACTTCTAAGTGGCAGTGTCAACTCTGCCCTTATTTTATAGGCCAAGGCAAATTACAAGACACCAGGCGGAGATCTGTCATCCTGCTAACGGGAGGAATGCCTCAAGCCCTATAGGCAAGCCAGGTGTCCCTGGGGTGAAGAACTATAAGCTGTCCCCAAGGAAGGTCAGCAGACACTTTGAACAATAGTACAACCTACCAAAAAGAGGTGTGTCAAGTCAATATTCATGCTATGCTGGCTTCAGAAAATGTTAAAAACTTTCTCCTCTAAGTTCTAGATTAGTTTAAATACATTAGAATTTTCTATTCCTTGAGAGTTTCAAAGTATTCACTAGTAAAGAATTTGAGTCCAGAGTTTCTCAGATTACCTTCTCAATTTCTTTCCAGGTCAGTGATCTGTTTCAATTTTCTGTCTCTTTGGGGCCTATTCTGTTCATTTATATTTTAAAGAAAAGCATCCATGTAACCCAGCTTTTAAAATATATTTGTACGAACTTTTGTCTATACTCTTGGTTATTTTTTTAAGTGGCTCATTCTTTTTTCCCAGCTTTATTGAGCTATAATTGGCAAATAAAAGTTGTATATGTTTAAAGAGTACAACATGATGATTTAATGTACACATGCAATGAATTGACTACAACCAAGCTATCAATAATTAACGCATCCATGATTTCAGTTTCCACCTTGTTTCTAATCATTTAATTTGTATTAACTTTACACAATAAACATGTATTTACAAAAAAAAAAAAAAGTAATTTTGATGGAGATAGTAATAGTACCTACCTGAGAATTGTGAACCTTAAATATATGTATATTGATGAGAATACAAAGGTCTGTCTAGAAAAAGTCCAGTCATTGTTAATATAACAAGAATGGTTTGCATAACATCCATGCAGTCTGGCAGCCAAGGAGTGTTGACTGGAATGCGCATGTGTGAACAATGATGACGTCACTGTACGAGTCAGCAGGGCAGTAGGCACTGTTGAGTGGGCATGTGTACCTTGTGGTCATCGCATTCAAAATGAGTGAGTAGAAAACAAATCTGCATCACATTTTGTATTAAGCTTAACATTTCTCCACAGAAACTATTCTGATGTTTCAGAACACTTTTGGGGATGGTGTGATGAGTACAGTGCAAAAAAAAGTGTGGCACAAACACTTCAAAGAGGGTCGAGAATCTTTTGAAAGTGATACATGTTCTGGAAAGCCTGCAACAAGCAGAACACCTGAGAATGTGGAACATGTACAGGCTGCAATCAATGAAGATCAGTCACCGACAGTGTGAGATCTAGAAGCTGATCTGGGGGTTCAATGTTTTATAGTAATGTTTACAGAAAACTGGCAACCCTCATTAACAGTTCATAGAGAACTAGAAGCTGATCTGGGGGTTCCAAAAGCTACTGTGTCCAAGATTTTGACACAGGATTTTGGCATGAAATGAGTTGTGGCAAAATCAGTTCTGCAGCTTCTACTACCAGAGCAGAAGGAACATCATGCTGCAGTTGCTAATGACTCCAGGAGAACAGTGTGAGGTCCCAAGGTGCTTACTTTGAAGGGGACTGAGGCATCATTGTCCTATGTACAATGTTTCTTGTGTCTTCTTTAATAAATCTCTCTATTTTTATAGGACATTGCTGGATACTTTCTGGACAGACCTGCTGTGCCCTGGTAAGCATGTTAGGCTATTTGGCCATCATTATTATTGTCCATAATTTTCCAGTTTTGATCACTTTTATGGTTAAAGCAGAATTCTATATAATCCTGTTTATAAGTTGACCATAGAGTTTATCATTAATAATGTACTAAGTTATAATACCTTAAATAACTTGTACTCACAAGTAAATATAACTGCTTGGTTATGTTTAAGTTTAAATGATCTTATGGTAGAAAACCATGTGTATAAACTCTTGGTATTCTCTTAGAAATTATAGAGTAACTAAATTCATATATGCTACTGTCGATAAATTTCACTGCAATTGTCAATTTTCTTCTTTCTCAATTCTATTACTATCTAAATCTTTTCCCACTGGATGATAAGAATAGGTTCAGCAGGTGAGCCTCAAAATCTTTTATCCTGAAGTAGACAATAAAAGAAAAAAATCTAACCACTCATTTTTACTTGTTTCCTATGAGTAAACTGTTTCTGATGCAGAGATCATTTTTCTTTTCATTGGGAGCACTTTACTAGTATAATGTCTGTCAATTATATCCCAATTTTTTAAAAACCTTGAAAAAATACTCCTTTTTATGAATCCAATGTTTTATAGTAATGTTTACAGAAAACTGGCAACCCTCATTAACAGTTCATATTTTTAATCTTTTGGTCAACAAAGTCAGTCTTCGCACAGTCTGAGATAATATACCATAGTTAAGCTTGAGCAAACGAAAGTCTGAGTTAATAAATACACTTAAAGACCAAAAAAATTCTATTTGTAATTTCTACTACCACACTGATTCAGTTTCATAAGTGGTTACTCACTTTCGTAACTTTTGTTACACCCCTCATTTTATAGTTTATATGATTTATTTACAAAACACCCTCAATAATAGTATAAAACTTCAACTCAATCCTTATTTTTGTGAACTAAGAATAATATTAATAATCAGGGAAGCTAAGAAAAAGCTCCAAATTGGTGTAGGACAAGGTAGCGTTTCCATAATCACAAACATGTAAAAAACCACAGTAAGGCAGGTAAGACACTTTCCGTGTATCATTGCGTTTACTGTGTTTATTCACAATCCTGCGAGGGAGGTGATATTAGCCCACTTGACAGACATGGAAGCTGAGTCCCCAGAGCAGCTTGGACTTGCCCAGGATCATAAAGCTCATGTTCTTTCCATTATTCTACATTGTTGAAAAATTTAATCTTTAATTCAAAGAAGGCCTTGGTTAGATTTATTTCCATATTTCTAGTTAGTATCTAATAATTACAGATGGCTTTTGAACCCACTTTATCAACATAGCAATAACCAAATACCTTGGTTGTTTTCTGAGAGAACTCAACTTACTCCTCAGGAAAACCAACCTGATTCTGAGAAAGGGCTATGGAAAAGCAGGTTTATCTTATTTTTGAAGTAATACTGCCACCTTGTGGACAAATGGTGAGCTACGTTGTTACCTTAAGGAAGGTTTTCGTTTCGAGTAAAATTTTCAGGGGGTGTTAAGGAATGCTTCCAGAAACATTAAGTTGTAGCCCTCAGAACAATGGTAACATAATTTCCGGTCGTACACAGTAACCAAACTGCTGTTTTCATGTGAATTGCCAAGCTAGATCCGATAAGCATTTGCTCATTTTGGTCATTCAGCATGTATTTACTAAGCACCGGCTTTGAATTGTGAAAAGTCAAGAATATAATGAATAAGGACATATTCCACATTTCTAGAAAATAAGATGCTATTCCTGTAGTGGTTAAGACTCTGTACTCTTGTCAGATTGCCTGAATTCAAATCCAAGATCTGCCACTAACCTACTGCATGACTTTGGACAAGCCACCTAAACTTGGTCACTTCAGTGTCACCACGCGCAGACCGGGAATATTAGTCCCACCCGTAATTATGAAGCAGCCTGTGGAATACCAAGTACCCTATCTGAGAAGTTCTTCAAGGGATACAGGCTGGAAGTGATACGGGTGAGCTGTCTTTGGTGGAAAGGCGGATAGCATTTCCTTAGGTGAAGATGAGCAGCAGGGCTGAGACATTACCAAACAGAAGCTGGGGTGGGAAACAAAGACTCGATCCCTAGGATCAGAATTCATATTCATTTGTCCCAGTAAACACTCCTTGAAATGCACAAAAATTTAAGTAAAAGCTTGCTTAGTGCAGAGCTGCTTGACTGTAAAATATAAACTATCTAATTGTCCATGGATAGGAAGCTGGTTAAATCGACTATGGCACATCTATACAGTAATATAGCAGACCAGCAAATACAATGAAGCTGAGCTGGATGTACTAATAGGGAGCAATCTCTAATAAACAATTAAGTGGAAAACTGACATGCAGAATAGCATCTACAAACGGCAGCTCACAGTGAAGTTTGTTAACGGGAATGAGTACTTTCAGCCCCAGCAGGCAGACCATTCAGAGCACTGGGATGGGGAACCTCCGTTTGGGGAGCTGAGGGGTGAATTGACTACTGTAGCTAATTCAATATTAAATGAGAATATCAAGCTTGAATGGTTGTAGTGAGAATCAAATAATGTATGGGAAACTCTTGTCACAGGTTATACACTTTATGGCAACTAGTTTTGGATAGAATTAACTTCTCATTTTTATTAGTATACATACTTAAGAAGTTCAATTTTTAAAAACTTTTAAATACAAAATTTATTTATATAAATTAACCCTTCTCAACATGAACAATTTATGAGCATGGCTAATCTCGTAATTACATGAGGAAGCAAACTCCTGGTTTCTTACAAGCCATTGTATTGTATGGCTGCTTGAATCAATTCATGAAAGGGAACCTAGACCCCTTTTTTGAGCCTATGTCCTTACCAGACACAGAAATATTTTTTTTCTACTTAAAAAAAAGAAATCAGAATTCACAGAACTAAAGTCTTAAGAGGAGATTCCCATTACAAAAACTTCCTTTAACTTAAGGTTTTTATAGCCCAAGGTGTATTTCCTTACAGATAATTAACTACTTGGGGTGGGACAGGAATTGGGGGAAGGTGAGAGAGGTAGCAAGTGTGAAAACAGCCAACAGGAATGGGTACATCTCAGAAAACAAAGAAAGAGGAATCTCATTAAAAAATGTAATTTATACTGAACTTTTTAAAAAATACAGCTTTTTCCCCAAAGCCAGCTACTCAGGCTTGGGATTCTGAAACACAAGATGACTGTGTAAAGGAAAAAAGTCTAAATACAGGTCAGAGAAAATGGTCTCGAGAGAGGTAGGTAGCTACATATAAGTTCCAAATATATGTATAAAAGGCTGAAAGGCTATTTCTTACAAGAGAAATGGCAAATTTTCATTGGTAGAAAGACTGCCTATCAAGAGGAAGGAAAAAAGAAAACAACAGCGTGGTCCAATAAGGACTACGTATAGACCTTGTTCTGATAATGGTAGTCAAGATCAAAGAAATAAAAAGAAAACCTGGGTGGCGAGCACAATATTTAAGCATCAAATCTGCCTCATCACTCTCCTGAACACATGTCTAACTGGCACCAGTTACTCAGAGTGGGCCAGTGACTTGCCACACGTAGAACAGCTGTAGTCCTGTTACCAGCAGAGGCAGAACATGTGACCCAGGATAAGGGATGATGTCCAGGAGAGGGGCGGGGAGCTCAGCTGGCCTCTGGAAATCCCAGGAGCACTGATTAGAGACTTTGTGTTGCCATTTGTTCTGTTTTCCACCGGGCAGAAGAAGATTAAAAAATAAAGGCCTGTTCCTTTGGCAGGATTCCCAGTTGAATCTCTCTCTCCAGCTTTGAATGCCTACCCAAATGCTGATACAGAACTTAGCTGTATTAAAACTAACATCAACTTGTCCAAGGTGGACATGCACTATGACCAAGACAATTAAGGTCTTCTAGCCAAAAATGCCGTGAAATAATTCCAACTATTACATGGGAAAACATGTCATAAAACAGCTACTTATTTTCTTTCCAATTATAGGTATCCAGTTTCTTCCAAAGATTGCTTCTGTAAGTAACTTTTTAAAATGTGTCAAAGAGCTTCTCTTTCATACAGTTAACAGAATCAAATCTACCTCAAGTTAGTAATTCTTATGTGTCTTATGAAGCAAGCACTATGAGTCTACTTTCTTGTTCTCTGGAAGTTCAGATGTACGCTGTAACATAGAAGTGCTTTCTTTCCTTGTCATGGTAGCAAAAAGCATATCCATCATCCCCAAGGTTTCTAGTAGTTCTTTTTGATAATCAATCTCTTTTTCTACAAGTCCTTGAAGTAACAGAAACTTTTTATCAACTACAGGTGACTGACCGATCACAGGCAAATATATATCTAGAAACAGAGAGAGAAAACATATTATCTAAAAATATCTTTGTAAATAATAAATGAACAGCAATATTTAGAAAAAGCACAAAACTATTAAATATTAAGACATTGAAAAATCTGTACTTATTTTACAATTTATGGTTTATAGAAAGTAAAAATTCAACTAAATATGTGTGTTTCAAAAAGAAATAATTATAAAAAGTATGGCATGGAAGTTCTGACTTATTTTCATTTTCCTGCTAGAAAATGGTCATGGTCACTGTAGATGTTTAAGAAAAAAATTTTTTTGCCCTGGCTGGTGTGCGCAGTAGATTGCATGCCAGCCTGCAAACCAAAGGGTCATGGGTTCAATTTCTAGTCAGGGCACACGCCTAGGTTGTGGGCCAGGTCCCCACTAGAGGGTGCATGAGAGGCAACCACACAACTGATGTTTGTCTCCCCTCTTTCTTCCTCCCTTCCCCTCTCTCTAAAACTAAATAAATAAAATCTTTTAAAAAATTTTTAATTATAATAACCCTAGTCTGTGCAATTCAACATCAAACCACTGTACACATTTTACTCCATTTTAAAATGCAGATTGTTTTCTCCATAAAAATCTTCACTGAAGAGTTGATAAAAACAAGATATTTTGATTTGAGTTCCAAATTTAATTTCATATTTTGACATCTCAATTTTGCAAGCATGCTAGGATTTTTTGAGTTTTAACAACTACTTACCAATAATTATTTCAGCAGCATTGATCAAAACAGAAGCAAATCTTGGCTGGGAGAGATTCCTAAAAAGCAAAAATTGCATATTGAAACTTTTTTTTAAATCATAAAACAGATTTACTGAGTTGTTCTGTTAACTCTACAAAGAACAAATTAAAAAGTGAATGTCTCTCATTTGGAGATAAAGAATTTTAGATGCACAATTATGTGTGTTTCATAGACATAAAACATACCTTATCAAAAAATTAAGGACACGACTGATTTCTTTTTCATCCCGACCGGCAAGGGCATTTGCAAGGACTCCTCTTCGATTTAGCTCCTTTATGATGGACACTGTAATCTCAGGTGTCTTTATTGTACAAGTGGGCTAGAAAAATTTTCAGAGTCAACATGAGCAAACACAGCACAAGAAAAAGTATAGTCTTGGAAATTCCTAGCAATTGCCAAATTTAAATAAGTTTTTATCTTCACAGTTTTGAATCATGGTAAGGTTAGTTATAAAATGATTCTTTTAAATGTGCCCTGTCAGTTCACCAATTATAATAATTGATCAATTGTTTAACGGGGAGGCTATAATGAACCCTGTAGGTTCATCAACTGTAGTAATTGATCAGTTGTTAATGGGAAAGGCTACGCATGTTGGGGGTCCAGGGATATATGGAAACTCTCTGTACCTCCCCCTCAATTTGGCTGTGAAGCTAAAACTGCTCTAAAAAATTAAAGTCTTAATAAAAATATATATTTTACACACACAAACACACACACATCTCATTCCTCACTCACCTCAAGAACTCTGTCAAGTGCTTTGGAGATCCGGAAATTTTTCAGATCCCTGTCATACAATTCTAAGTGTTTTTTTGTCGGCCTATTAATCAAAATGTCATCCTGCATTGAAAAGTAAATTTATAGAGAAAAATCAACACCTGTACAGAGTTCCATTCAAAATAAACTTTTTCGTCCTGACCAAGAAGCTCAGCTGGTTAGAGCACTGTTGTGCTCACTGTTGTTGTATACACTGTTGTGTACACTGTTTTGTACACCAAGGTTGTGGTTCAATCACTGGTCAGGCACATACAAGAATCAACCAATGAACGCATAAATAATTGGACCAGCAAATTGATGTATTTTGTCTCTCTCTAAAAATCGATTTAAAAAATTTCAAAAATAAGGAAATTTAAAAATAAATAAAAAAATAAACTTTTTCATAGTGGTATTTTTTATACCAGGTGCCCCTACCCTACTTTATGAATAATGGTCATATGCCCATAACACAGATAAAATGAAAATGAAATAACCTGTCACATTAATATGTTTTTATACTCCTATTATTTTAACTTACAATACTACACAATACCTCGATTCTGGGAAAATATTACTGATTTCAATTCTCTTCATATGGCAGGCAATGTAATTTAGCAGAAAGAGAAAATAAGATTCAGAGAAATAGCGACGTAGTCAACAATTCTTGTTACCAGTAATGAAATTCTGGATCAATCACAACTTTTTCATATGTCTCTCCATCTTCTCACATGCAAAATGGGGATATTAAAGACTCTACTACTTTTCAGGATTGTTTAAAAAAATCAGTGTGTGAAAGACACTGCTTTGAAAAATATAAAGTATTATAACATTTTTATGATTCAGGATATGAAATAAAGTAGTCCATATTCTCCACTACTTATTAGTAATGTCCCCAATCTAGCAATCTGGAGATAAATCTGATGTAGAAAAAAGCAAAATAAAGTTGAATGCCATATAAACTATACTTTCCAGTAATTTGCAGGGAAAGATTTGGCCATGCTAACAAATTTCACCTTAAAAAAGGAAGAAGAAGAAATATACAACTACCCGTTGCTTCATGTAATTTTTCCCTTTAATAAAAGTTCGATACGCAGGCCTTCTTCTTCTGGGAAGAGAATCCTTCTTTGGTTCAGATTTCCGATGTTTAACACTCAGTATTCCATTGGTCATTCCTACAACAATTGTCTCATCTTCATGCTAACAGCAATTAGAAAAATACATTAGTCTATTCCAAATTCATCCTACCTTTTCTTTAAAATACCATTTATAACATGTTTGCTGCTTACCAATACTTTCACCAAAAGTTCCATTCAGATAGATATTCTGCCTAACAATGATCTATGCAAAAAGTTAGAGCTAAATCATTTTCTCCTCTAGGATACCATTATATTGACAGAATGTATACATCTTATAAACTACCACCGGCAGTTTGTATTATAATACACAGTTAATGATATCTTAAAAAATCCTAAAATTTTTTTATGCATCCTTTTACTAGAAAAAAGGATTATGTAGTGCCATGATTTCCTATACTCCTGCTAAGAAAATACTTGATTTTCCTCTCCCAATTTACATTTCTATATAATGTATTCAAATATCCTCCTCCTCAATGGCTCATGAGACTTGACAGTGGACATTCCACAAAGAGCAGTCATCAAAAAGGAGATACTTAATTTTGTTGCCCCCCCCTTTTTTTTTTTTTGGCTCAGAGAGTCAAATTCACTTTCTAAAGTACTTAACCCTTGAGTTAAATGTTTTGAAGAACAATTTATCAATCTCCCAGGTCTTGCCTGTAGTGTTGACAATGCCTAGAGCACTGTACTTATTAGAACCTATGAAGTAAGTGGGACCTAAATTGGAATGCATGCCAAGTTACAGGGACAAGTCATATATTCTAGTAATTGTCTTCATTCAATTCTCCAATGTGGCAAGAATAAGACTTATTAAAATATAAAGATAACCCTAACATTCCATTTTAGTTTCATTTAACAGGCAAAGTTAGTGAAAACTTTAAAAGGAACTAAAAGTACTTACTGCAAGGGCAAGACTCAAAATTGAAGCTGCATAATCAAAACTGTGGACTACTTTGTAGGAAGTTGTGCTATATACTTTCACCTTCCTAATAAAAAAGAAAGCTTTGTCACAAATCATCTTGGAAATGAGTATAAAATGCATTTCTATTTTTGGAAAATTCAATGCATGAATATTAAAATTTACACAATAAAGATAAACAATGATTGGTAACATTAATTACAAACTAATTTGCCACTGAATCTCTCTTTTAAAAATTTAACCATTTATTAGGACTATCCGTAAACTTTGCATAAAGACTCTGACTAGCCGCCAGAAGGGCAGACCATGAACCACAGTTGCCTGAAGATAAAACTTGAGAGTAAAGAAGTATCAATGAAAGTGCACTGGAAGTCAACGGAGCAGGCTGTCTCACCTGCAGTACTACTGACGTGTAGGGCCAGATAACTGCTGTGGGGGTTGCTCTGTGCGTTGGAGGATGTTTAGCAGCATCTGGCCTCTACTCACACTTGGCCAGCAGCACTCTGCCCCCAGGTTGTGAAAACAACTAAAATGTCTCCAGGTATTGCCAAATATCCCTTGGGGGACAAAAGTCACTCTGGGCTGAGAACTACTGAAGACAGAGCCAACTTACTTAGCTTGTGAGGGACACATCTAAAAATTAAGTCCCAAAATGCCTATAACACCATTAGAGAATCTACAATATATTTATATAATAAATTCCTTTATATTAGAAATGTTTTCTAGCTTTAAAATATGTATACTTTTTAATAAACAGGCTGAAAAAAACAAGTCAATAACAGGGAAAAAAACATAATGGAACTAAAATGACCAACAGATGAATGTAAGTAAATTCTACAACTGTGCCGTCGTTCTAGCCACATGTGACTTCTGAGCACTTGAAATGTGGCTAGTGAAAAGGAAGAACTGAATTCTTTTATTTTACTTAATTTTAATTGGCTTAAATTTAAATTTTAGGGCTGAGTCCATGTGAACAGTAAACAGTTTTCTTTCTGTTAAACACAGTATGTCTCATTCTCACTGCTGTAAAATGTTATGATTATCGTAGAACATGTATTACCTGCTCAAATTATTTCTGGCCTCTCAATTTTTACATTGATTACACACTGAAATATTTTAGATGCATTGGATTACATCAATTTTACCAAGTTAAATTAATTTTACCTAGTTATTTTTACCTTTTTAATGTGGCTACTGAAACATTTTAAATGACATATAGTTCACATTATATTTCTACTAGACAGCATTGTTCTAGAACATTAACTAATAGAATACTAATACTTATTTAAAATAGTAATAATTGGACCACAGAAATTTTTACATTAATTTTACATAAATTGTAAAGAATAAGCCAGAATATATACATATACTCATGATTTGAAAATATACAAATATACAATAATGATTTTAAAAGAAACTCTAGAGTATAGATTGTTTTAAAAGATCAATGTTTAGTTCAATAAAATTCCTTAAGTATATAAATTAAAGCAATAAAGTATATCAAAAAAGATATGAGTTTGCTCTATGTAAATAAAAGGCCCAAACTATTTTCAACTCAACAGATTTTTTTTCATGGAAATTATTTGGCAGAATATTTAACACAAATACTGCAGAAATAACTCATTTCCACAAGCAGTTAATACTTGTATATTAATAATGATGAAGAAAGGAAATTAAAATGCTAACCTATCCAATGAACCAGAGAGTAACCTCTGCCCGGAGCTGCTCAGATATAAACATGTCACAGTTTTATGATGATTCTTCAAAGATACTAGCAATTGTCCTCCTTTTAGCATGTCCCAGACTTTAACATAACGACCTCCTATAAAAAGAAATAATCATTAGTTTGATATTCCACCTACAAGTTAAAAATATGAACGATCTGAACAGCACTCTTCACCCGACACCCCACAGCACGCAGGTAAAGCGAAGGATTCCAGAGCCAGGCTGCCTGGCCTCGAAGCCGACTCGACCATTTACTGCCTGGGTGTGTAAATGATAGCAACAGTTCTACCTCACAGAACTGTTATGACAATTAAATAATTCCACAGTTGTTAAGTACACAGAACTACCTGGTAATATAAAAAGTGAACAAAGATTTTAAGAAAATTATAATTAAATTTTGCAAATCCCGCCCTGGCTGGTGTGGCTCATTGGACTGAGTCCCCGCGTGGGAACCAAAGAGTCCTCAGCTGGATGCCCAGTCAGGGCACATGCCTGGGGCGCAGGCCAGGTTCCCAGCAGGGGGCGTGCGAGAGGAAGCCACACATGGATGTTTCTCTCCCTCTCTTCCTCTCTATCTAAAAATAAGTAAATAAGATCTTTAAAATAAAATAAAATTTTTGTGAATCCCAATTAAACCGAGAAACTTCCCTATAACTATTTTTTACCCTCAGAGTTGGAAGGATCCTAAAAGGCAATTTAATCCAGTGGTTTAAAAGAATTTTTTAACACCGCATCTTTTCTTTCAATGAAATGATAAGCAAAAGTCTAACAGGTAAAATAGAATAAGGGGTTGAGACAGCGGGGCAAGTTTATTACCTATCCTGACTGGGCAACAAGGCCTGGACCCTAATTCACAGTCCCTGTCTCCTCACATGTGGCAACTCATGAGAGAGATTACACTCTGAAACCACTGGTCTAGCCCAACCGCTTATTTTCAAGATCTATAGAAGTTAAGGAATTGCTCAAGGTCACATAACTAGAGACAAAGAGATTAGCATATAGGTACCTAATGTCCCTGTTCATCTTGACCTTTTCATTTCTCAAAATAATAGCAAGACCAATAGATATATCTGACAATGTTATCAAGTTATTTGAAATCAAATAGGTCCTGGGGAAGAGTATAAAACAGGATAATTTCAGAATTAAGAAAAGAGAAAGGCTACACACAGCCATGTGTATGCTATTAGAGTATGTATACCACCTATGTATTCTTCTAAGGTCAACACATTAATTTCGACGTGACAAATGAACAGCTAATTTACTTCTTCCATTATAATTTTGAAAATGCACTATGACCAACATAACAAAAAATACCTCAGTTCCAAAGAGATGAAAAATGTACCAAGGCCTCTTTTGACTTCACATTATCTCCTCCACCACCATTATCAGCTATTTGCTGGGTAAGGCCATTTTAATCAAGGGTCACATGAAAAGAGACAAGCCTGATTCTAGATCCTAAAAACACTGTTTTTATTTTTTAAAGATTTTTGATTATTTATTTATTTTTAGAGAAAGCAGGAATGGGAAAGAGAGGGAGAGAAACATCAATGTGTGGTTGCCTCTCATGTGCCCCCTAATGGGGACATGGCCCACAACCCACGCATGTGCCCTCACTAGGAATCGAACCAGCAACGCTTTGGTTTGCAGGCCCGCACTCAATCCACTGAGCCACACCAGCCAGGGCAAAAACACTGTGTTTTCAATTGCTGCCACAGATCTCTTAGGTAAGAGTAACAAGCAGCTGTACAACCTTTTTGAGTTAAGGAAATAAGCAGGCTCTCAAGTTCTGGGATTTCAGATCTTCCACTTTGCCTTAAACAAATTAGTTAAAACTTAAATTTCCTGAGTTGCAAAATAGAAAGAAAACTAACTACCTTGTAGGCTCATCTAGGGCAATAGATACATATAAATAGCACAATGTCTGGTACATACTAGGTACTCAATAAATGATAACAGCTTGCCTATCCTACTTATTCATTGCGCAAAAACCTAGATAGACCATTCAAATGCACACTGATAAATTACAAAAAGTAACTGATAAAGTATCTGACCCAAGACCAACAATACTGGTGAAAGAAATTTTTGAAAGAAATACCTGCTGATACCAGAAGACCTCCAGAGGGAAAAAGCAGGACACTCTCCACTGGCTGCCCATGCTCAACAGAGATAACACTCTTGTTTGTTCGCGTATCAAACATCTTCACAGTGTGATCGTAGGACCCTGAAATGTCAATTTTTGTATTATGTGAGTTTCACTACTCAAAAACAACAAAAACTATGTATGCTTGTACATGCCTGTATTTGTATTCAAACATCAATTTTAAAAGGAGAAAAGCTTAAATGAAATTTTTAAAAGACATGTAAATTCATAAAGATATAATAACTGCAAACTCTTTCATACCACTGTCTTTTTCTGAAGAAGAGTGGTTTTATCTTAGAATCTTCAACTAGTCCTATCTCAGGCTACTGTCACTAATGAATCATCTGAGAATCTTGCTCAGGCACCCACAACGACTGAACTGCATTGTCTTTGTTTATTGGCTGCTGGGGGCTCAGCGGCAGTCAGAGTACTAAACCCATTCCAGTTCTGACTTACGCTTTCAAGGCAACCTGATGTTCCCAAATACATATGGAGGACAATACGAACAATCACCAAAAGAAGAAAAAGACAATAAAACAAATAGGTACCCAGAAACATATCTCTCTATAAAGTTTTTTAAGCTCCTCTTTCCTAAGAGTCCCAAAGCATATTAAAATCTAGCATAATAAATTTATCAACTTCAGGAGAAAAAAAAGTTTACCAACCTGTTACAAAGAGATCTGGGTTCAGTTTGCTAGCACATCCACACCTCACATAATCAGAATGTTCTTTCAATGTCAGAATTTCTTTGGAGTTTGGAATATCCCATAATTTAACTGTATAATCATCAGCCCCAGAGACCACATGATATTTGTCAGCTGTAAAATCTACTGTATGAACTGCTCTGAAAGATCAAGGATCAGTATATTAAAAAAAAAAGGGAAAATTATATTCCTGGCACCTTCTAACATAAAACACTCCTTTTCCCTAAATACCCAAAAGGAAAAAAAAAAAAAGCAGTTCACTTTCAAGGAGTAACTGCAGGGTGAAATCATGAGAGAAAACAAAATCTTTAAAAAAAGGCATTTGTCCTCAAGCTAATTTAAAATTTTAAATACCCATGCATTATGCAGTTAATAAGAATAGTAAACAATAGCATTTAAACTTTCTAATATGTTAACAATTCTACCTAGCTGCTCAATGAAAGTAAATATCCTAAATGTTGTTACAAAAATACTCTAATTTAAACAATTTCAAAATAGATACTTAAAAAATTCTAAGATTTGCCACTAAGTAGGATTATGTTAAGTGAATTTGTTATATTTTAAATGTTTCACTGACCATCCTGATAAAAACAAAACAAAAAAACACTCAAGATTTTACATTGATAGGAACTTACAGCAATGACATTGGTAATCATGAAACAAAGTTAAAATATAAAATTGCAGGGACAAAATACTAAATCCAAGAAGAAAGAAAATCCACCTTCTGACTTGATTTCAAAATGAGAATTTCTGATACAGCCCAAGTTTATGAAGGTCTCATTAACTGTGAGGCTGCCTTTAGATCAGTGGTTTATGCTCTCCACCGGGTCACGCACTCACTGAGGAATCAATGAGCACTAAGGGGTGTCTGCCGAGACATCCGTTTCCTCAAATGTCGTATACAATTCTTAAGAACTCATAAGCCTCATGAAACTAGACCTTAGGACTGAACCAGAATACAGGCTTTGTCTCAGAACAACAAGGCAATAAAGTATATAAAGGGATATTATCTTCTCTATGTTTTTATTCAAAGCCCAGAAAACAAACTGACCTTAGAAAACAAATAGAGCTTAAAAAACGAAACAAAAAAAGAACACATAAAAACCAACTGTCCATAACTGTATAGTGAAAAAAATTAGACTTACTGTGATAATTTTGCAATATATACATATATCGAATCACTATGTTGTACACCTGAAGCTGTTGTAATATAATGCATGTTAACTGTACCTCAATTAAAAAACAATTTTTTCAAACTGTCTCTTACTTAGTATGGCCTTCAAACTGCCTGAGGGGAGCCCTCCCAGTTATGTCAAAAAGCTGAACTCCACCATCTTCACTGCCCGCCACAAGTAATCTACCATCCTGTCGAAAAGTAGCACAGTATGCTGTGTCTTTAAATCGGGAAAAGGTTTTTATAGGTTCCTGGGAGTATCGGCCATAAATGTGAATCTAAAAGATAAAAAAAAAAAAATTTCACCAGATGGCTCGCAATCAGTGGTAAATATAAACTATACAAAAGAAAAATAAATTTAATGTTATAGTTACCCTTGAAGAAGCTGTGACAGCATAATTATATGGAGGCTGTGGAGAAAAGTCTACTTTTGACACTGCACCAAACTCCTTGATCTGAACAGGAGTCTTAATAAAAAAAAATACAGAATATTAACAGAATTACAACTGGTAATCCCTATTTAAGCACTATATAATTTCTCACTGACAATTTTTTTTTGTTCTTAGTAACATTTACAAGGTTGTATTTAATACAGAAGTATGAAAAAATACAAAAGGTCCAAATCCCAGCACCCTATCCGATCCTGTTGCTATTAAATTAAGTAACTATACGATTGGAAAGCCATACTCCACTCTTTCTCTTCAGCTGTGGAGTTTTCTGTGATTATTACTGGGGAAAAAGTTATGCCTACAGCAGCATAGATTGGGCAGAGTATTTAACTGACACAAAGACCATTCCATGCAGGCAGTTCTGCACCCTGCTTGTTTTTTACTTAACACCACATCTTAGCTAACTATTAATATAAGCAATAGATTTATCATCCATTAGAGAATACATCATAATTTACCAGTTCACTACTAACGGACACAGGTTTTTCCAAGATTTCTAATATTATAAATAATAATTCAATGAACATCTTTATCCATATAGCTTAGTAAAATTTGAGTAAGTTCCAAGCTGTGGAATTTACAAGGCTGAAGGGTATTTTTATCATGTTAGATAATGCTAAATTGCCCTCCAGAAAGTTTGTACCAATTTCTCTCCATCAAGTAGTAATGATCAAAATTTTTCACTTGTGCCAATACAAAAGATAAAAAATAGTAACTAAATTATTGTTCTAATTTGCATGTCTTTAATTATGAGTGAAGAAGATATTCACATTTATTGGCCATTTAAATTTCTCCTATGCTCTCCTCAGGAGCCCATATAGTAAATTTCTATTTCCATTAACCTCCCCCTCCCAATCATTTTTCATTTTCTATTTAGTTATTTATTTTTTTAAAAAGGAATCACTAGTAAGCCTATATGGTCTAGAATAATTAATTGTGCATTACTTCCTACTTAGATTCAGGCAAAAAAAATCTTCTTGCATATGGCATTCAAATTCTAAAATTTAATTCATTCATCATTGATATAAACTAAAATCATCTATTGATTATAAATCATTGATTTAAAACTAAAATCATCCATTCTGTGCTAGGCATTTGTGATCAAACTGATTAAGCAGCATGGACTTTTACAAAAAATTCCAAAAATATATCTGATATCAAATTTTCTGCCTAAACTACAAGCTGCTGATAGATTATTTTTAGTTAATTAGTTCTCTAGGAGAGCATCCAAAGTAAAACACATGCTTGACAAATTGGCATAAATACTTACCTTATAGTTATTCCAGTACAGTGTATCTTGGGTGATTTTTTCACCAAGTATAGGATATGTCTGAATAGCTACAGGCTTATAACCAGCCATAATTTCATATGATTGGACTCTTATCCAAAAGTAAGTAGTTTGAAACTGGTGTTAGAAATGATTATAGTGACTCTGCCTTATTTCTGAAAAAGAAAGTATTTTATATAGATGTTATTCATAAACCTGTATATATAGTTATGATTTTCACTCTGCATCCTTTCAAAAGGCTGTGTAGTAGCTTAGAGATCAATAAGCCATTTAATTATAACACAAAAGGAATAATCTAAAGGAAGCAGAAAGAATACAGATAGGGATACCATACTGCAATTCTAAAATTAAATTCTAAATTAAAGTGAGAGAATAGGATAAAAATTAATTAAAACTTTTAACTGACAGGTAATTAAGCCAAAATGTCTTTCCAGAACTATTCAATTGCAAAAGAGATTCAATTTATCAGGGGAATGATACAAAGGGGAATGATACCTGCGGTACAACTCATCATCCATTCCAGAAAATCTGAAAATAGTGCATCAACACCACCAAAATATATAAGTGCAACATATTTTAAAGGCTGTTTTGATGAGACATAGTAACCAATGGTTAAAAGGGGGGAAAACTTTTCTGTTCATTCAAGCACTTACAATGTGTAGGACACTGTTCTAGGTACTAGAGACAGTGATGACTGGAAAACACGGTGTGTACCCTCACACACCCCAGTATTCTCCATTTCAGCTGGTGACTGGTACCAGCTGGGAATCTGGAAACAGCCTTGTCTCATCCTTCCTTCTCACTTCTAACATCCTCAAAGATCTGCTGGTTTTACCTCCCAAAACTGTCTAAACGTCATCATGTTCACTCCACCTAGTTCCCCTGCCCGAATTCAGAACTCTCATCTACGGAAATAGTGCAACAGAAAGTCCCCCTAATTCCCTCATCCATTTTTCAAATAGCCATCAGGGTTATCAGACTACAACGCAAATCTGGCTTTCGCTACAAAGTCCAATAATGCCCAGAAAAGGAGGTCCAAGTTGCTTAAATGGCATGGGAGACACTCCGTGTTGTGGCCCTTGCTCACCTTTCCAGCTTCACCTCTTGTGCTCGTTAACATGTCATGCTCTTTCTTCTCTCAATGTCTTCGCTCATTTGTCCTCTCTGCCAGGAATGACCTCTTCCTATCGACTTCCTACGTATCATTTAAAGCTCAACTTGAGGATCACATCCCCCAGGTAAACTTTTCTACACTGAGTCAGGTCCTGTCTTCTATAATCCTAATTGACTGCATATTTTTGTTGATGCACATAAACCCAGACATGATTAAACTAAACTTTTTTTAAAGTAAACATTTTGTGTCTGGAAGATTCTTTTTATTTAAGTGTTCAAAGAATATGGAATGAAAGAAGGGAAGCAATGTACTGGCTTCCATGAGAAAACACAAAACTAAAATCACAAGTGGTGTCTATAAGATGAACATTGCTATAGAAAGGAGCTGATAAACTTTTTCTGTAAAGGGCCAGATGATAAATATTTTAGGATTTGAGGCCCACGGGCAAAATAGAACATATTATATAGTTACTTAAAAAGTAACTTCCATTTCTTTTTTACTAATGAAACCCCCAAAATAGTTGTGAGTACAATTTTTTTATTTATGAATGAAAATAGGATTCTTTGGAGGAAGAGAATATTTCACTTACTTTAGGTTCAAAGTTACTGCTTCACATCATTAAAAAAACCTGCAAATGTGCATCTGTAAAAATCATTCTTGGCTCACTGGCTACCCCCAAACAGGCACCAGCTCACATCTAGCCTGCAGAGCTTTGCCCGTACTAGAGTATAGGCAAAGGAGCACACAACTTTGTCGTGAGAGAAACAGTTTAAAAACCTTTAGAAGGAAGAACTGAGGAGCAGCCGCAGTGGTTTACCAGATTAAAGGGAGAAACGGCACTGGCAGGGGAGGGAACACAACATAATGCAAACGCACAGAGGCACGAAGTGATGTAAAAATTAAAAGGAAAAATATGATCGGGCAGAGATCAGAGCCTGAGAAACTGGAACTACATGAGTAATAAAAACTACACTATAATGCAGAATATCAAATATATTCTCTAAGTACAGAGTCCTGAGAGCTCAGAAGAGATTTTTGATTCTAACCGGGAAGCTCCGAGAAATATTCAAAGTGTGCATTTCAGCTGGGCTTTGAAGTTTGATATTAAAATATCTTGACCACTTCAGATGGGCGCAAAGGCGGGGGCGGAGAAGAAAGCATGTAAAACTGAGGGACTCTCACAAGCACAGACAGAAACTTGCCACTGCCTTGCAGGGGGAGGACTGCTCCGGGCACGAATAACGGTGGACAGTGTGAAAGGATGCGATCGTAAAGGAACAAAATCCGGGGAGAAGCGAAATGGAAGGGATCCTCATGGGCTGGCTACGGAGTCTGGCCACTCTGCGGTGACTGGGAAGCCCCAGAAGAGCATGCCAGGTACCGAGGAAGGCCCGACATGAGTCTGGGCTACCCCTCTCCGAAACCTCCTTCACCTACCTCCGATGGGCCCCGAGGGTCCGCGGAGGCACCCGGGCTCCAAGGAGAATTTCTTGGATTTCGCCAGTCCTCTCCCGGGACTATCCAGAATCACTTGAAGAAAACCACATGCAACCCGCAAGAGAATCGCCGAGACACAGAACTAGAAAGGCCGGGCCCGTCGCCTGATGATGACGCAACGGCCCAGACTCGCGCGCGCGGTCGTAGGAAAGGAAAGGCAGTGGGTGGGGCGATGAAGAGGAGGCGTAACCCCAGGGCGAGACCTCGGCCTTGCTCTAGTTTCTCGGAGTGGTCCTCTGACGGGGCCCCCTCTCTGTAGTACCCTGGTGTTTAGCGCCGTGAAGCGCAGCGGCGACGAAAGACCTGGAAATCCTGTCGGGTGTCGTGATGCGGAACGTTTTCTGTCCAGAAAGCGGAAGAAGAAATAGGAAGTGACGTCGCGGTCAAAACAAGTGAATCTGAGGCCGCAGATGGAAAGGCCCGACCCGCTGTCGGCTGTCGAAGGTGGTCGCGAGACCCTGCTCTCCCACCCCGTCGGCCTCAGGCCCCCGTCCCCCGGACCCGCCCGCTGCGGGTGAGCCAGAGTTTCCACCTGCCGTACCTGAGCCGCGCTGGGACTTTTCGGGCAGAGCTGGCGGGTGGCGACAGGGCGGACTTCCCACAACAGTCTCCCCTCTAGCGGGCTCTTGTCCTGGGACGCCGGGACACCTGTCGCCTGTGAGGCATCATTCATTTTCATAGCAACTTCCTTTCCTTGCAGGACAACTCCAGGATTAGGAAGAAGCGGGGGGCACCTATTATTAGCGTCCATTGGGGACTAGCACAGTTGCCCACTTTATCTCGTTAGGTTCTCTCTCTTCACCCTGGGCTCTGATAGATCGAGGTGATCATAGCTATTCTTGGCCTTAACTCTCTCACCGCCTCCTCTTCCCGATCATCTTTTTTTCCCCTCCTGTTCTTCAAAATTTGGCCTACCCAATCACTTCGCTCCTCCTCTGTAGAGTACCGCCAAGATAAGAGTTCTGTTTCTGCTCCTTCCTCCTGCAGGTGCATTTACACTCCTCCCTTCAAAGACCTGTAGTTCCATCTATAAACCCTAATTTATAACATGGACGATGTTCAGAGCTGGAAAAACGATTAGACATTTAAAAACCGTCTTTATAAATGAATAAAATAAGTTTCAGAAGACTTACATAATTTGCCTGTCCAGGGTTGCACAGCTAGTTAGTAGTGACGTTGGGAATGGAACGCTGAGCATCATGCAGGATCATTTCAGGATAGGAAAGAATATACCACGTTAAAATTTAGATTAGAAAACATTTATGGAGCACCTGATACGGCCAAGCACTGTTTTTTGTGCAACGATTAGTAAGTGCAGTACCCATCCTAGAGGAGTTTTAAGTTTATTGGGAATTGAAATGGAAATGCTCAAGAGAATAATAAATGCTAAATTAGAGGTATATTCAGGGTACCGAGAGAGCTCAGGGGAGTTTCACTTAGGCCACCTCAGGGTAGGAGTCTGTAGTATTGGCTCTTACCCGAGGAAACACCTCACATCTTGCAATACCCTTTTAAAGACCTCTGCATTGCACCTGCATCTCCATTTGAATCACGACTCATTTTCTGCAGTGGTTTCCTTCGCTAAAGTGTATTGACTTTGTTATCTGTTACTTTCTTTTTTTTATTATTATTACAATTTGTTATTTCTTCAACTCTCTCTCCCTTGGAAACTTTACATTAGTTTAGTGCTGCCGCTCATATTAGCAGGCAGGGTAATAGAGTCAGAACAGCTGGATAGGTTCCTCATGATTCATGAGCTCCCATTTTCTCTTCTCTATGATGTGTATGATTGCCTGCCCTGACTACTCAACGGATTGTTACAAGAATCAGTGTTGCAAAATGTTTATCAGTAAATGTATAGTTTGCCAGTCTCCGCTTCATTGTGTTCCTAATGCATTCTTCAATTTTAAATACCCTGTACCATCTCAGAGTTTCTAAGAGACAGTAAACTCTAACATGAAAAAGTTAACTGGATGTCATTGTCTTCATGTCCCAGTGATTATTTATTTAGGAAAATTATATATCTTGGATTTCTTCATTTTTTTAGAATCATTTTTAGGTACAATAGTGAAATTTCTCTTAAAATTATATTAAGGTCCATAGGGAAGTGCCAGTGATCACTGAAAACTAATTTTAAAATAATAGTAAGTGATTCAATAACAGGTGTGCTTATAATCTATCCTTTGAGAGTAAGCAGTTTTTGAGTTCATGTCTTGACGGTCTATATTTAGGAAAAAAGTAATTCTTAATACTTAAAGATTGAGATCCAAAAATTCTGCTTTGATCCTAATGTCCTAGAGATGCTAAAGCAAAGGAAGCCAATTTATAATCTCCACACTTTATTTTTGTAAAAACACATATTAAGTTGGTAACATGTGATCTGAACAAAAACTGATAAAGAAATATATCTTCAGTTAATCATAACCAAAGCTTTATAAAGTCTTTCACTATCCAGGAATCGCGGGTGCTGAAGATGCCAGTTGACTTGGGTACAACATGAGTTCTATCTTAAATTCAAACTGAGAGCCACTTATAAACAGAGCACACTAAAAAATGAACCTAACGTGAGAAGTTCAAGTTTTTACATAAAAGTTTATTTTTTATTGTTAACCTGATCTTTTGGCCATTTGGCAATGTTCAAAAATAGAAAAGAAGATAAAAAGATAACTAAAATTTGCTGGAACCTAGTGATGAAGATGAAAATGTTACTGTATTTCATTTGGTCTACCAGCATACTGTGAGGTTAATGTTGGTATCCCCATTTTACAAGTGAGGCTGAGGCTTAGAGTTTGAGTAACTTGTACAGGTTCGCACAGATAGTAAGAAGCTTGGCTTTATATGCAGGGTTCTCTACCTATGAACTTTGCATGCTTCCTGTTATTAATAGGTGCTTATTAACACTGCTTATTAACAGTGTTTGCATACTTGATTGAAAACAATTATTTTGTGTACTTTTACCAAGTTGATATCATACTTTTAATTTTTTCCTTCCAGATTTTTTTAATATCCAAATTTCAAGAATACACTGGATAGCACTCTTAAAAAACCAAGAGGAAATTATGAAGAAATGTTTTAATTATTGAAACTACAGTTGAAATCATGGCTACATCAGCAAATCTGGATCTCGGAGCCCAGCTAATAGTGGAGGAGTGTCCCAGCGCTTACAGTCTAACTGGCATGCCAGACATTAAAATAGAACATCAGCTGGACTCAAATGCTGAAGAAGGGTCGGCTCAGGGTGTCGCCATGGGAATGAAATTCATATTGCCTAACCGATTTGATATGAACGTGTGTTCTCGATTTGTGAAGTCCTTAAATGAAGAGGATAGTAAAAATATTCAAGATCAGGTTAACTCTGACCTGGAGGTGGCATCTGTCCTATTTAAAGGTTGAAAGTTATGGTATAAATATCTGCATTTGTTTGTTTTTGTTATTTGGTGTTTTTTTTCCTTTGCCGTCTGACCATGAGATTTTGAGTTTGGGAAGAAAGTTTGGAAGTCACCTTTTAATATGATTTCCTAGAATCTCACAGAAACCAAAATTAAATAACTTCATGTTATATAATGCCCATAAGTACATGTTGATTTTTTTCATATTTCTTGCTTTACCTTTGTTTATTTAGAAATTCTTTTATATAATTCCTTATTGTACCTTTTTAAATCATATAAGAAAAATAGTATTGATGCCTTTTACAAATGAATTAGCTTAATATTCCCTATTCTATGAATATTTGATCATTATTAGCTTCCTATGGTTTAATTCAGTGAAATCTGTCATCATATTATAGATTTACTTTTATAATAACCTATTGAATAAAAATACTAATCCTGGAATAAAATTGCTCAACATTAATACAGATTTTTTTTCTGAAACTTTCACTATGGTAGCACAGACTTTATGGCAGAAAATAATTTAACATCACTTGAGAAACAGTTGAAGATATACCTCATGTATTTATTGCTTTTTTAATGTAAACATCAGCATAGAACTTTGAAATGCTTTGTCATTAAAGTATTGTTTCAATGTGTTTAATTTATTTTACTTAGCTGAATGCAATATCCATACATCTCCTTCTCCGGGAATCCAAGTAAGGCACGTCTACACTCCCTCTACAACAAAGCACTTCTCACCCATAAAACAGTCGACTACCTTAACCAACAAACACAGAGGAAATGAGGTCTCAACCACGCCTCTGTTAGCAAACTGTAAGTATTCCCCACTGATGTCTTAAACTGTTCTTGTTATTAATATAATGGTTTCAAGAGTTTGGCTTTGAAACATTAATTTCATTAAATGCATATTCCATTTTGGAAAACTGAAGTTATATGCTCATAGTTCTAGTAATTTAAAATTTTTTCACCTATTACTGCATATTCAAATTGTTCATATTTTATGTTTCTCTATTTAAAACACAGATTGAAATATTCTTAAAACCCTTATAGTTTACTATAAAAATAATAAGTTATTCTAAACTTTGTGCAAAGTAATACTTTTTGTTTTGTGTTCTTGGAGCATAAGACTTTATATTTTGCCCATGAACTAGATCACTGATCCACAAGTTATTTGTAGTAAAAGCTGAGTGATTTCTATTGTAATTTTGAATTTGAATATAATAATATAAATTTGAAACTACCTTTTGGAAAACTTTGAGTCCACAGTTTTTTTTAAGTGTATAATCATTCTAAAAGAAATAAAATGAGGTTTTTCTATATACCATATTCTGTATAGCAGAAAGAATATACCAAAACCAGTTAGCAGTTGGATGTTAGGAACTATATGTGAAAAATATAATATAAATACACCTATATTCTAATGCATGGTGAAATATATTTCTTTACTTTGGAAACACTATATCCCTCCTGATTTTGAATCATGTACTGTAGCATATGACTCACTCCACCTATTGGCCATTTCTGTTTTACTTGTATAAATTTGCATGTGCCTCCCAATTGCTTTCCTTTCTGTATTAAGGCCATCCAACCATATCACTGCAGTCAAAGATCAAGTGATACTAATTTTTAAAATGAACTATCATAGAACAGTGCCTGTTTATCATTGTTTAAAATAGAGATTGTCTTAGATTATTCCAACTGTAGAATTT